CCCCAAAACCCCAAAACCCCAAAACCCCAAAACCCCAAAATCTAAACTTCCCGCTGAAACCAGTAAAAATTTCCATCTAAAACAAAAATATTTTGTGATCTACTAAATTTTATTAAGAGATTTTTGAATTTTAGAAGAAATTTGAGATTTGGAGTTATAAGAGGGTGTAGAGGAGGAAGTGGTTAAAATAAATGGGGAGGTACAGATGGGGCTTAGTAGTTGAGGTATCTTCTGTTGTGGGTTCTATCGTTTTTAATCAGTCTTTTGAGTGATTTTAGCAGGTGTTCTTTACTCTTTGATCTTCTTTCATCGTGTTTATTGTTGTTGGTATCTATTTAGGTAGAAGAAGTGGTGGAAAGAAACCTTACCTAAGTCTATAAGACTGTTTCTAATTTCTTTGTATATAGCTTTTTCTTTATTTTGTGAGACTAGTGCTCTTGAAAGATTTTGTTCATGCTCTAGGGAGATGCTGTAAAGGCAAGCATGGTTCTTTACTGTAGATCTTGGTGATGCTAGAAGGGGCAAATGAAGTTATACGTGAAAAGAAAAAGACTGAGATAATATTTTACCTCTCCCAAACTTTGTAGAATGTTCCTATAGAATTGAAAAACAAATCATACCTTTTGTTTTAATATTTCTACATATGGGGTATTGTTAATTCCAATAGTGTCGAGCTCCAAAGGCTCATTTTTCTTCACAGCAGCCGAAACTTTTGAAAAGATGTTATACATTTTTGCCTTTTCAAGCCAATCTTTTGCTTTTACTACCGACTTTACTCGCCTATCTTATTTATGACTAAGCTGGTAGATCTTACTTGATAATCGCTTTTGAAGTAATTTTGATGTGTCGAGCTTGAACATTTTCCCTAAAGAATTATTTTACCTTAAAAAGTAGCAAAATATCTTCAAAGTATGGAAATAAATGACAAGACTACTTATAGAAGTTGAATAATGTTATTTGAATATTAAGTAAGAGTAATAGCTTACTAGGGCTAGAAATAGACACCTCATCGCTCTCTTTCTCATTTACATTGAGAAAATGCTGACTCAGAGCTAAGTTAACGATCATCGACCTTCTTGTAGTGTTTACATTAATACTTTGCGTTTGTTTCTTGTTTTGCATCATATTTACATTTTTGAGCAACCTCATTCTCTAAAAATAAGTTCTAAAATACTTTGCTTAACTTAGATTTTCCAGATTTTTTATTTGGCGTATGTCTAAAAATTATCATAACACTTGAATGGAAATAGAATGGAGAAGGTAAAAATCTATGGGAGTAGCTCAAGATCTTATTTTGGAAAATATGAGGTAGCGAATCCAAACAAAATTCACAGATTGGCATACTTTAAACCCTGGCTCACCTTTTTGTGCCACTTTGAAACATTCTAGCAAGTTGAAGATTTTTCTTTTTCTCTTCACTTTTTATACAGTTTCAGGAAGACTTTGGTCTCCATTAAATCTCTTCTGTTGAAAATGTCTCTTGGGGAGAACTCCATGAGAGACTTTTGGCAAAATTAATGATTTCTCTAATCCTTGAACCCCTTCATTATCTCTAAAGCCTGATCGCTAAGACTTTACCTGAGGTGGGAGCTCACTGTTCTGCTTGTATCCTTTGCTGGAGATTGGAGTTCTTCCCGGTCAGCTAGGGTTTATATAAATTACACCAACAAAGGAATATGCTTACTAGATTTAACAACAAATTCGTTGATGCATCTCTGGAATCCTACCTCAATTTTATACAATTTCTTCTCCATATGCATGCTAAAGGTGTATCGTGAGAGGGCATTTTTATAGACTGAATTAGAGAGCACAGATACAGCACTGGGAGCATAAAGAGCAAGTGGAGTTAAGATCTAAGAGTCTTGCCAAGAGGAAGACTTACTTCATATAAATTTATATTTTAAATCTTTTTATTTTATGTCACAGATTTTGTCAATTTTTAGATATTAAATAGGGGTTTTGGGGTTTTGGGGTTTTGGGG